TACATTACATTACATTACATTACATTACATTACATTACATTACATTACATTACATTACATACATAATCATACATACAATATCACATATATATATATATGGGTTTCTTCGTCCCGTATCGGACAGGTGCACCTGGGCTGTCGTCGTGGCTATCGTCCTGTGGCGGGCCATGCTTTTGGGCGCTGTGGCGAGAGTGGCTGGTGCTCCGCCCCAGGCGGCACGGACGGATCATGTTTTGCGGTTCCTAAGGACGCTACTAGGAGCAAAGGGCATCGCTACTAGGGGCTCCTGGCCGTACTACTAGGAACAAGAAGCTACTAGTAACAGGGACGCGAGTAGGTTGCAGGCCATCGCTAGTAGGTTGGAGGCCATCACTCTCAGGGGGAGGCCATCGCTATTAGATGGATCGGCACTTCAGCGGAAACTTTGGCCTTGCTTTGTGGCGTGTTAGACGTCACCGGTCACCACACATGACCCATGACTCCGTTTCTACTCCATTTCTGCGCTCAGAATGCTAATCTCTCGATATGTTGTTCGGAGTTCGGACCCAGACTCAAGCGCTGCCTGTGTGGAGCCTGCCGATTGGCTTCGCTGCGTTCCTCGTCGGGAGAGCGGGAAAAGCATATCATCCAATCCTTTCGCCGCATCTTAATATATATATATATATCACCTATATTTTCCTCCTCAAGGAGCGTCAAAGCAAGGATTTAATTTGTTCTGATGTGTATTGAAGAGAACATATGTGTTGACCATGGAGAGATCCGTTCTCCTCTCCATGGCCATCACAGAATCAGTATGGAGAAGTGACTTGTCTCCTGATGTTCAAGACTTGAAGACTCAATTCGTCTCCACCAAGGAGCTCATCCCAGAATATTGCCCGCCATGGCCCAGCTATGATCATTCGGTGCCATACAACACCAGCCTTGCGCCCAAGGCAGGCTTTGAGACATTTTCGTCGGTTTTAGGCTGGAGGCCATCGCTCTTAGGGGGAGGTCATCACTAGTAGGTTGGAGGCGGGGAGGTCATTGCTAGTAGGTTGGAGGCCATCGCTAGTAGGTTCCTTTTGCTATTGGATTGGAGGCCACCAGCTGCGACGCTTCACTGTTTGACACCATGTCGCACCATGAAGCTGCATGATGCCGCACGGGTCACTGTGTGGGTCAGGCGGTGCCCTTGGTCAACCCCTTGGCGCATGTCTTCCTGAGAGAGGTTCGGCAGTTGCCCTTGCCTTCAGGCGCTTTGGGCAACTTGGACAGTCAAACATGGAAAGCATGTGAGAGGAACCGGAGGAAGGGAACCATCATGGGGCACAGGAATCATGCAGACTGCAGACCCTCAGAAAACAGAATTGCGGTGAATCAAGAAGGGCCTTAAGGCTTTTTGCATTGGGTGGTGAGATTGGGAATGTATTGCACTCCTTTCAATGCTCTTTTTGCGAACTGGACATGCATCGAAGAAAAGAAAACAACTCAAACTCTTTGCCTTTGCGGTGTGTCCTGGCTGCGTTGACGCAATTATAACAGAAGAGGATGCGTTTGCTGCGGCTTGAAACGCATGAAGACCTTAGCCGACTTTGCACACAAAGGTTCGACAGTTTCTACTCACGTGATGCCAGCTACATTTTTTGGGGTCTCGGGGAGCTAAGATTGATAATTGTACATCACCACATGTTGTCCCGCCTAAAACATGGTGTCTACATGTAACGCACGCTCTGAGAACTACTTCCGGCTTTCGCTTTGGTATGTTTGGCCAATGATTCTTTGCTCCACATTTGAACAGTATGCTGTATGCTCCGCTATGTTCCGCTTTTCCGCTAGCTAAGGTGACACTGTTACAGTAAGCTGTCCGAGGAACTTCTCCCGTGCTAGTGGGGACACGCAGTTCATTTGTGGTCATGGCTTGAAGGATGGACAATGGATGCTTGGAGAAGAAAAGGATGACAATGAAGAAAAAAGATGAAGACAAGAAATGTCTTTTTTAGAACGTGGGTAAAAGTTAGGTCCCTAGAAGACTGGGAGGGGGTTAAAGTAGCGAGCTCCTTCGCATATTTGAAAGGCTTTCTAGCTGTTCGCCATCTCAAGTATCGATTCTTAACTGTGTGTTCCTTTCTGTGTTGTTTTATGCCATTCTTTTTCTTTGATCATTTAGACTTTGTTTTTTCCTTTCCCAGATAGCTGCAAAGCTATCGGGGTTCTTACTTCTCAATGGTGTGGCTCGGGATCGGCGTTTCGTTCTGCCTGTGGTGGTGCTGGTGCTGGTGCTGCTGCTGGATCGGCGTTTTCGTGCTGGTGCGGGTGGCAGGTGCTGGTGCTATCTGGGGTCTATACCGGTGTAATGTCCATTTTTGATATTGTGTTGTCATGTGTTTTCTATTTAATGCAAAAGAATCCTTCGCATCTTCAAAACATTTCGAAGCGGTTCCTAGGTCCTAGGTGTTGTTGAAAACTCGCTGCAGCCTTCTCATTGGTTTCTAAGAGAGTGCGTCACCTGGTACCCGAAGGGATAGCTCTGAGAATCGCTTTGCTCCATTGAAACGAATGTGGGACAACAATTGGCTCAAGTAACACTGCCGAACCAAAAAAATTGCAAGTTGAGGGCTTGATCACAGCACTTCGGGCCTCTTTTGCACTTTGGCCCACAGGAATAAGCTAAGCCTTACTGATCAGTTTGGAACCAGGTCAGTGGAAACGGGTGCGCCGTGAAATCAGGAAGCGGGATTCCGTTCCTCCAATGCATACGGACAACAGCACCTTGGCACAGCATCGGCGGAGCCCTGTTCGTCTCAGACTTTGGAGTGGCTAGATGTGTGGCTAGATGGTTGTAGAGAGTTTTCATGGATTTCTTCTAGGCCGATTTGTGTTTGCAATTTGATCAGATGTTGGAAAGTAAAATTATCCTCAAGCTACTCTAGTCGTGGTTCAGCCCTTTGAATCACTAGGTTCCTGCTGAAACGAATCTGCACGGTAAAACCTGCTGGGAACAGCTGATTTGAAGGTACCCGGGATTCCATGATCCATTTGGTGGACGAGGCTACAGCAGAGCCCCTGGTTTGCGAGCTGGAGACCATGATTCTTGGTCGTTAACATGTGCTGCACCAGCTGAAAACATAGCTGTAGCGACTGTAGTGCATTTGTGTTGTGTGGTTTCGATTTCTGGATCCAGGATAGAAACAACACGGAAAAGATTGTTGAACAGAAGTTGTGGAAGACAAGAAGGAACAGATGAAGACAACACGAGACACAATTTCTCTCAGGAAAGGTGTGCGGCGGAAGTACTATGACCGTTTGCCAGGGCTTTTCCAGAACCATAGCCGCACTGCTGGCTACGACGTTGCCAGCACCTCAGGAAGCCGAAGTCAGTCAGCCAGAGCTCTTCCATCAATTCTAACTTAATTTAATTCTAATTACTAAGTCTTGTTTCTACTAGCTTCTTGTTACTACTAGTAAGGCACTTGTTACTAGAAGCGATACACTTGTTCCTAGTAGCTTATTGTTTCTACATTTCAAAAAGTTGGTGTGTTTTCTATACGTGTCTTCCATTATGGATCCCGAAATTGGAGGTGCCCTACATCAACCAGTTCCAGTCTCCTTACGATGCTGCGCACTTCGAGTCGTACTTGCGGCCAGAGCTGGGAGGTAACTACACGTCACTGGGCCACACTTTGAGAAATGAAAAATGAATCGACTCCAGAAGCGATGGCCTCCAACCTACATCGACGCCAAATTCTGAGTTTATCACTTTCCGCTTTGCGTCACTCGTCAGGTTGAGTGTGGAGGTCTTGGGCGCTTTCGTTTTGACGTGGGAAGATAGAATTCTCTTGGCCGGTCGCTCTCAAGGACGGACAGGGACTCGACTCTGACTTGGACAGACACAGTCTGGAAAGCAAGTAATATAGTACAGTATAGTTCTTTTGGCAAAAGAAGACAAAAGAAAAGGACCAAGGGACCAAGGAAGGCACCCGTTTTTTCGAGGACTCCTTTCAGAGACCTTTAACGCTATGCCCCTGGAGCTGAATAGCACTTTCTACTTCTTCCACTTGGAGTACTGGGCAGATCCACTTCTGCCGCCTAGCTTCATTCTCAAGCGAAGCAGCGAAGCTTTTAAGCTTAAATCCTTAAAATACCGAACAGTTCAGCAAGTTCAGCCTGGAACTTGCTCACAGATTACCTTGTCAAAACCGACCCTGACGCAGCCTTCAGTTTGGAACTGGGACTATGTACTCTGTTGTTGTTTAACTGGGTTTTCTTTTACCCAGTGTGCTTTCCTATGCATCCAGATCTATTCAGTAAACATCAACAAGCCTTTTTCTGATACAGCAGTTTCTCCAAAATTCACCAAGGCCAGAGCGAATTGATCAGGAGATGTTGACTTTTCCAAGGAGGACCGGAATTTGACATCAGAATGCAGCGGTAAAAGTTGTTTGGTCGTGCCCTCTGAAAAATTGTTTCGCTTCCTATCCTACCCGATCCTACCGCCCGGTACGTCGTCCAGGATTCGTTTCCTTTGGAGTGGCCCAGCAGGTGATATGCAGCCTGTTCCTTACACTGAGCTGCAACGTGAGCTGCACTGGACCTAATACGTGACTGGTGTGCTTTGCCAACGTATAGTTCAAGCATGCAGCATGTTCAACTACTTTTCACTTTGACGTTTTAGACCATTCCGTAGCAAGTTAAAGTTCGGCAAACAGTTGCTCGGGCAAACAAGTGGCACAGGTGCCAGGGAGGTTTCACAATGGATCTCATGTCATGTTGCTGGTGGATATTGAATTGGATTGTTCATTGTTTTGCAGCCTAGCGAGGCGATGCAAGTATGCAAGCTATGTGATGCAAGATATTTCTTTTGACCAAGTGCAGAAGTAGCAATAAGGGCTTTAGTCGCTCCAGTTTACTAGAGTCAATAAAAGCTGAATAGAAAAACCTGTACTGTACAGTACATAAAATGAGCGTTGTTCAAGAAAAGCTGCGTTGCAGGCTCACTGCGTGGCAAAGTAAAGGAACGGTAAAATCAAAGATTCTATTGGTACATTATTTTGGATTTTTAAATGTTAGACCTCAAACGCTTTATGAAGTACACCATAGAAGGTCGAAGGGGGAACCGAACAAAACAGCGTGCCAAATAGCAGAACAGAAGGGACAATGAAGGCACTGCAGAAAGAGCCATAGAAGCCACAAGGAAGCCAGAGATTGGCACATGATATTGTTAAAGAAAGATTTGTTTTCGTTCCGCTCTTTACAGAGAGTTCCATGTTTTGAGTGAACGCGTTGGTTCGATGTTTTACTTGGTGCAACTGCCATAAAACAAAAAAGCAACAAACATTTAAAAAAATGGTGGAACATAATGACTAGTCACGTCCTTGCTCCTAGTAGTGATGCCAGGAGCCCTGAGTAGCTTCTTGCTACTAGTAGCGATGCACTTGTTACAGCATAAAGAATGCAACTGTTTTTCAAGAAACAATTCCTGCATCCGGACGTAAGAGGACTCGAGACGACTCTGAGGTATCATAGCTTCGATGAGGTCTATGGCTATCCAATCACTGCACATGGCGTCAACGATCCAAACCCATGTGATTCGGAGAATACGGTCAGTGTGACTGGTGTGACCCTCAGCCTTCTCCTTTTGGATCCTTTTAGCATCTTTTTTCCCTAGCACAAATGTGGAGCATCTTCTCGCCGAGCGGAGCTCTCGGATTTTGAGGTTTGCTGGAAGGAGAGAATGGCACCATCATCGATGGCACCATTGGGTACAATTACAACGAGGCCAGTTTTTGTCTGAAATTGTCCATTCAAAAAACATTGTTACTACAGGTGAAACGATTCCCAAGGAAGCTCTGGTCGTTACTAGAAACAGGAAGATATGTCTTGGTTAGTACATCTCGACATGTGAGTTTCTTTTAAGCATGTTTAAGCTGTCGAGGACTTGACATGCTCCTGGCTCTTGGAAGCCACAGGGAACGTCCGCTTCACGGTCTTTGTGAATTTCTTCGACGTGGTCGACTCCGTGAACTGTGCAGGTCGAGACATTCCGACGTTGAATTAGTAGTAAAAAGAAGCTACTAGTAACAAGTGCATCGCTTCTAGGAACAAGTGCCTTACTAGTAGTAACAATGTTTGCTATTAATTTAATGTTAATTCTAATAGCGAACTTTGTTACTAGTAGTAAGGCACCTATTGCTACTAGCGTGGCACTTGTTACTGAATTCTGAATCCGTCGACTTTGTCGAAGAACTTGAGACTTCGACACGAACTCGGAATCCGAAGAAGGTGACCGCTTGGAGTTCTATGTGTCTGCCGGGGCAACCTTGCGTCTCCTGGGACCCTTGGGTGTTTTGTTCAGTCCTTTTTTTTACTTGTCTCTTGGGTATTTTGTCTCTTGCACTGGCATTTTGTCAGCTTTGGGCAATGTGCAGATTTTGGTGGAGCCTTTCACCCAGGTCCTCGTTGAGTCTTCGCTCTTAAGACTGTCTTGGAGTTTCTTGTAGTAGCCACTTCAAAGTTTTGGCGATTGACACTGACCTGATCTCCTGGAAATGTCCCTCAATTGATTTGCACATGCTCCAAGCAAGAAGAACATATGATTGAAGACTGTTTTTCCTATTTTATTTCAGTTGGAGGGTGTTTCGGATGGTTTCCTCTGATCGGTTGGTCAGGAAGCGTTTGCGGCTCCTATCCCGAAGGCACAGCCATAGTTGAGGCTGCAACAAGGCACGGGTACGATAGGTTTTTTGTCTGTGCAAAACTGCAACTTGATTGGAATTGCAATGCACTTAGTCATACCATTGACTTCGGCTACTAGTAACAAGTGCATCGCTACTAGTAGCAAGAAGCTACTAGGGGCTCCTGGCATCGCTACTAGGAGCAAGGACGCTACTAGTCATTATGCCGCTTGACTTGAGGAGCTTGGTGATCCGCTTCGTCACGGATTCGAACTCGGAGAGAGAGGGCTTCAACGTTACCTGGAGCCGGGCGGATGAGATTGTTCAAACGCTGCCACTATTATTCTGAGCAAGTTGTGTGGCACAGAAAGGAAAGAATATGAAAGAGATGGGGTTCTCAAAAAGCATTGTTACATTGTCGTTAACAGGTTGGAGGCCATCGCTAGTAGTGAATTCGAAAGTAGAAGTGCGAGAAGTCCTTTGCCTCGGCTGCTGCACCGAAGTCCATGTTAAAGACCGACATCTCGAAGGAGAGTGACAAACCTGGTCGATCGCATCACCCAAAACCCTGTGATCTGGGGGTGCCTTGGATGGCACATCTTGGCACTAGGACACGGTGAAAGTTTTTTACAGTAAGTATTAAGTATCAAAAAATCATCTCAAGGAGATGAACAGCTTTCATCTCTTTATTCTTCCAACTCCTGTGACATGTGTGCCGACATGTGCCGCCCGGCTCAGGGATTTGTGACGGCCAATCTGTGATTGTGAGGCAACAACAAGCCTTGCTTGACGCAGCACGTTTGGCCCTGTCGAATTCAGAACTGACTCAGCCGACTCGGAAGGCTTCTCCAAAGGAAATTGGGTTTGTTTTGAACAGAACAGGCCGTTTTGAAGAAAAGCATGAACAGTCTCAGTTAGCTCTTTCGAACGGAACATCTCTCCAGGATGCCAGGCCAAACTTGCTGTCAAGAGATAATACCCCCCATTAGTTCATTTCCTTAGCTTGCACAAAGTCTCGCCCCCGCCAATTGGCGGACGTGGCTGCATTGCTGGATTTGGATGTGAAAGACCAGCTTGTGTTTTTGAACATGCCTTTCAGAGCAATTATATAGTGTATTTCAGTCAAAATTCATGAACCAGAATTAACCCCTTATTTGTCATGCGGTTCATGTACAGACATGTTCAACAGACTTGTGTCATACCGACACATATTGGCTCAAGAAAAGCGCGCTTCCGTCGTGCTTTTCAGCTGTCGCGCACGCCGTTCGCTCGCGTTCGTTCGTGCAAGCTTTCGCGCATTCGTTGCTTTCGGGTTTGTGTTGTAGGTGGCCGTAGGAGCTCCTTCCCCAAACCCGCACACCTGCACACCACGGGTTCCAATCCTTCGGGTGTTCCCCGCCGTGTGCCTTCTAGGACCAGGGCCCTCCATACAATCGGGTATCTTTCATCCACCCTTCCCCTAAATAGGTTGTGGTGGTTGTTTACTGATATCCCGGAACCCTTGTCCCTTTCATTGGTTATCAGCCGTAGGTCTAACCAACCTACGAGCTCTAATAGTCCGCCTCCTTTAGGCCCAATGCCGAGGGTTACGCCTCCTAGGTCACCCCGTCCCGAGTCAGCGCCAGCCGCTGCCTCCGGCGCGGATTCGCTAGGACTAAGTAGTGACCCTGACCCTAACCCAAGATCCCCGCCAGCAGCCGCCATGCAAGCCGCTGCTCAAAGCGCGGATTCGCTAGGCAAGGCGTGAATGAGGCAGAGGTTGAGGTGACGTCCTTGTCAGAACTTGGTTCATTGGCCATTGATGCATTGAACTTGTTCATTGACAACCAAGACCCACCAGCCGCTGCCGCAGGCGCGGGTTCGGACAGCTCGAAGTGGGCAGGAGCAGCCTCGGAGGCTGATTCAGGCCCGACCCTCTTTCCACCTTCCGTGATTGAGCACGAAGATAGAGACCTCGAGCTTGAAGAACCTTTCGCCGGTCCGACGGGTCTAGAATACCCAGGCGACACCGAGATCCACCCTCTCGATAGCCCCACGGCCGAAGGCCATCCGGCCCCCGTGGATGAGCATTCGTTAGGCAATACCCGAGATACGCAGCCCTCCCCTGATCAAGACCATCCGGTCCCGGAGGAGGCAACTTCGGCCAGCGCGGACGCCCCTAATCCGACAGACCAAGGCGATCTCGCCCCTGCGGAGGAAGGGCCTGAAGAGTTCGTGCCACCCGAAACCCTGATTGCCCAGGCATCATCTACACCTAATAGTCCTCCCCTATCCACTAATAACCTGTTTGATCCACTTGGTGAAGACGAGGACTCCTCCGCCGAGGACGCCGTGGAAGAAGGGATTGCGCAACGCATCCAAGAACAGTACGACTTGGAGTCAGCCCGGATCGCAGGCGTTGAGCCGGAACCGGCTGATTTGAGTGTCGGTGAAGCCGCTGCCACTGGCGCGGGAAAGGGGGAGAGAGACCGCGCCCGTAGGAGGGGGTGCCGTGCCGGCGCCAAACACGTCGCGGGCCGTGAAAACCTCTCCTATGGGCAGACGTGTGAATACATCCGTGCGCAGCTCGGTGATTCCACTTATGCACGGTTCGGCCGCCGCTTCAATCTCCCTCATATTCCCCCACATGTGGCCCGCAAGCAGTATCCAGAGTGGTTCGGATATGTTCTTCGACATTCTGAGAGGTGGGCGTCTGATGCAGAGGGAGAGCTTTTGCCAGTGGACACCATCACTCGATGGGCGACCATCCTGCCTGAGCTTTGGCAGTTCCTCTATTCGATCGACTCCACTTTGCTGCAAGGTATCCCACAGCCGAAATACAGACTGCCTAGGGGTTATTGGAGCTCAGACCACCCATTTGTGCCGCTCCGCCATGTGCGCTCGACTGACACTAAGGTCGCCCCTCCAAGAACAGTCTTTAATTCCGGTTCGACTGCTTCCTCTTCGGCCGCACCGCCCCGCACCGATCGATCTCGCTCTGCTGCCCCTAAGGCCACTTCGGGATCATCCTCCGCGGTCAGTGCAGCAATAGCGACAGCTCCTTGGCGTCCCACGCTTGACCGTGGGCAGGTCCCGATCGTCTTGACACCACGTTCGCAGGTAGAAGCAAAGGCCTCTAAGGCCAGTGCCGGAAAGTCAGTGTCAAAAGGGATTGAGACAAAGCCAAAGTCTGTCGCCGCAGGGCCGAAGTCTAAGCCAGCCGCAGCCTCTGGCGCGGGCGCCTCGCATTCGTCCAGTAGCCTGCCTGTCCCACCTAGTCCACCCCCAAAGGTCCCGCCGGTCCCGTCACCGCAGGCCAAAGGGTCGACTCAAGTCAAAGCTGGGGCTACGTTCGTTGAGGTCCCCAAGCCATCATTGCCTATTCGACTTCCACCTCCGCCGAAGGGTCCTGCACCAAGTCTTCCGACAGCAGCTGACCATCAAGGGGGGCATTCGTCTGTCGTCCCACTCGAGCCACCTCCGTCCATCCCATATGGTGACACAGAACCGCTTGACGCTCCGGGTCCTAATGAATATAGCTACCGTGGCCCACTTAAGCCGATGATCCCAAAGTGGACACGCAGCAATCCCGAGCAGATTCCGGTTCTTCGACCCGTCAAAGCAGTTCCCCCTGTTCCTCCCGATGCTGACCAGCTTGACATGAGCGCCTTGCAGCAGCAAGACGCCAACCTCGAGACACTAAATAATAAAGTCGTGCATGCCAAGGCCCACGCGTCCAGTGCGTTGGGCGGAGCAGCGCTTCGTGGTGAGCTCGGGCAAGTGTTGTCACACGTGAGGCCAGAGAACACAGCAGAGGAGGAGGACGTCGTGGTTGAGGAGGAGGAGGAAGAAGAGGGCCAAGGGGCTGCCTCTCCTGAGGCGCCCGAGTCCGATCAAGACCAGCCAACAACGAGTGCTAAGGCCGCTGCCTCAGGCGCGGAGCCAGTCCGTCCGGTCGTCATGATCCCGGGTCCTGGTGCCTTCATCCATCGGCGCTTAACACCGTTTCGCCTTCGTAGGACTCAGTGGGACCGCGAACACGAACCATCGGTGCCACTTGAAGACGCTCAAGACCGGGTCTACGACTTGGACTGGTCAAGCACCCCGCAGGCCGAGGGCGATCACCTACTGCCCTCTTCGTCCACCATTCATGTTAGTGCTAATGCTGACCTATATGAACTAGATGCCGAAGACTCAGATAACTCTGACCCTGAGGCTCGCTCACGTCGCATTCGCAATCTTGAAGGTAGGACTGAAGACGCCGGTTGGCTCACATGGTTGGAGGGCCATCGTCCTAAGACCAGTCAGCCAAGTCACCCAAAGCCGAAGTTGGCCGAGCCAGCATCTAAGCGTGTTCGAGTAGTTCTAACACCAGATGCACTAAAGAGGGCGCCACCCATAACGCCCCCACATGTTCGACAAGTAATAATAGTCCCTAAGAATAAACCAAAGGGTGCCTCAGTAGCTGCCGGTCCTAGGGTCCCAGTGCATGAACCTCAGTTGTCAACAGCCACTGAGACAGTGTTCGTGCCATCCCATCCGCCTCAGCCGCCGCCTCAGGCGCGGGAGGCAGCACAAGCCAGCGCTACACCAATTGCGCCCCCGGTGTCTCAACCGCCTGTCGCCAAAGCGTCCGGGTCCCAGAGCACGCCACCTCCCGTGGTATCGATCGAGTCATCGTCGGCATCTCCGCCACCGGCGAGACCGCCGTCGAAAGCACGCCCGGTCCGCTCAAGGTCTCCTCCTACCAAGGTCAAACCACCCCCGCCGGAGGCGAGGCAATTGTCTGCCGAAGCCAAGCGGCGAGCGTTCGAAGCCTTTGAGGAGCGCAACAGACCCGTGCATGTCGAGACCGACAGCGCAGGCAAGCCGCTGCCAGCTGGTGCTCGTGTACCAGTAGGCGCGGGCATCACGGCTGCAGCCCCGTCCGATCCAACCCCACCTGCGGGCGGTGACGACGACCAAGGCGAGCCATCGACGCCGAGAACCCCTAAGACACCCCCAAAGCCCAGATCGCCTGTTCGACCTCCTAGCCAGCACGCCACATCGGGGCTTCCCTACAAGACCCCGCCAGGCTCGTTGACCGGGAGATCAGCCTCGTGGGAACGGAACACAGGACGGCAACCAGAGCCGGCTCCTCCTAGGCCTGTAACACCGAAGAGGAAGCCCCCTCCACCTAATCCTTATCCATATCCGTATGGTAAGCCTGCAGGTGTGCCGTCAGTTCCCCATGACACGACATGGGCTTCGCAAGCTGCCTCATCGACAGCTGCACCTACCGTCTTGGACAATTCGTGGTGGGTACCAAAGGCTGCTTCACGCGCCGATAGTCACGAGGAGCCGCCATCTGGTGGAAGGCTGGCCCCACATAGGCCACCCTCCGGCAGCCCTGCCTCAGACACGCCTCGAAGTGTCCAGCCTACTACAAGATACCAACCGAACCCGTTGCCCCGGTTGTTTGGGCAACAGTTGGCAAACCCGCATACCCTAGTCCCTCCTCAAGCGGGCGTCTTTGAAGTTGGCCTCGACTGGCATAAGGTACTAGATACCATGCTGACTCCGGTGCGTACACCAACCAACCTCCTCACAGACCGCCTTAAACAGCTTGAATCGCTTCCTGCTCGAATAACAATCATCTCCTTCACGGGCGCGGGAGACCGCTACGACTCGACCATCCAGGAGATAGATTCGTTTAGAGACCAGTGCCGCGCGTCCGGCTGCCAGATGGGTGGCGGCTTTTACCTCACGAATGAGAAGACGGGACGCGGA